CACACAACCTAGAGCTGCTGGAATCCTTTCATTCCTTCACCATACATCGGCAGAAGGTTTGCATGTTCTGGCACGATGTCTTGTGCAGGGAGAGGAAGTAGTGGACAGTGTTTGCAATTCCATCCCCATTGGCAAGGGATTCATTGACTGGAGATTTGTTGCCAGTCTTTGAAGCCAAGTGCCTCCCATGGAGCCATAAAAACTCCAACCAGTTCCGTGGAGTCGACCCTGCCTCATGGCGGCCCTACGTGTGTCGGCGTAGAAATGTGCTGCTCCACAGGGTGTTTTTATGGCTGAATTTTTTTGAAACACATCACCGAGGCCATTTTTCCTCTGGATGGACCTTCAGATAATTATGTTCACCATCTGCACCCCTCAGGGACTTCTGTTATAACAAACTGGCCCCAAGCCCAGACCCATGGACTGGACCCTGCTTCTGTGAGGCTGGCAGAGTCCCGGGGACTGCAGAACAGGGGCAGCTGAAGACCCCAGGGAGGTGCTGTGCCGAGGCCTCCATTTCTAGATCGAGACAGAAGCATCGCTGGGGCCCTGGACACAGCTGTGTGGCTAGCATCCTGTCCCCAGGGATGTACTGTAGGGCTGCACCCAGGACTCTTAGACAGGGGCCAAGGGCTCTCAAATGACCCTGGCTTTTAGGCCAAGAAAGGATTCTTTCTAGTTATTGCTGCAATCGAGGAACTCTCTTACCAAATCTGCCCTAGATATTTCCCACTTGGGATCCACCATGGGAGATGTCTATGTTTCCTTCCCATCCCTCACACAGGTTCTTATAATGAGGGATGTGGGCTGGAGCTTGATGAACTATGTCTACTCACAATACTGCTGTTAGATGCCCAATGTACAACAGAACAAACCCTCCCGGTCCTGCACCATTCTCACCTTCATTGCTGTGTGTGAGTCCACTGGTACGGCTACCCTGTCAGTCCATGTTGTTGGCTGTCCCCTTCTATTTCACTGGCCCTCGTTTTACCAAGCATGATGTCCTTCCCTCCTGATAACATGTTCAGAGCATGTGAGATGTATTTGTATTCATACGTTACAAACACAGAATGTAGGTGCTGTGGAATATAAAAATGCTACTTCTTTCCTGCCAAGATCCATGCCAAAACCTGTGGCCACAGAGTTGGTGTCGATTCATTGAAACCACAGCATCAGTAGAGCACCAAAGGATGAGTCCCAAAGAGCGTGACACATGGAACTGAAAAATGGACAAGATGTTTGTCCAGTAGGAAATCCAGAAGTTGTCTGGATGAATTTTGTACTTCTCACCCCATCTTTACTCTTTGTGGGCATCAAGGATGCAAAGTTAGCATCTGAGAGAAATGTGTGAATTTCATGACTTCACACCTTTTCAGCCATTTTTTTTTTTTTTTTTCCCCAGCACTTAACAGTCTAGACTGAAATGCATCTCATCTCTTACGTATGACTGCTGAGTTGTAAACAACAGGGATAGTTTTTGAATGATTGGATTGTTAGGTGCTAATAGGGAGTCGGTTCTGACTCAGTAACCCCCTGTACAATAGAATGAAATGCTGCCCGGTCCCACGCCAGCCTCACAACCGCTGTTAAAGCCACCGTGTCATTCCATCTCGTTGACAATCTTTCTTCTCTTTTTGTTTTCAAATTAAACACATCTATATGAGTCATAACTGACTCGACAGCGCTCAACAATAACAGTTAAGGCTTACATACAGTGAAATGACTTCAATTCAAAGAAGTCTTTGGGAGGAAAACCTTTTTGGGTGCTCTTCTCTTGGAAACACATTTTAGTTCATTGGGTGTTATCTCTGGTGAGAAATCTCTCATCTTCATCTTTATTATTCTGGGGGGAACTGACATATAGAAAGAGTGACATGTTGTTTATTAAGTCTGCAAGGTTGAACCAGTGGAATGGGCTGGGGTTGGAGTCCCAAAACATACCTGCGACCCTGGATAAGGAAGATTCCCCTTGTTGACACCCAAGTTGAGTGAGAACACCATCTCCCTGTGCCTGATGCATTTCATGGGATGTGGTGAAGATGCTAACCCAACACAGCAACCCTATGCACAGAGTAGAACTGTGCCACGGGGTTTCCGATGCTGTAAATCTTTATGGAAGCAGACAGACACATTTTTCTCCTTTCAGAGAAGCTCATGGGTTCAAACCACCAAACTTTCGGTTGGTGGCCAAGTGCTTAGCCAATCCACCACCGCCAAGTCAACTGGACTCACAGCCACTGTATAGGACAGGCTAGAACTGCTTCTTAACTTTCCAAGGCTAGAAAACTCTATGGAAGCAGACTGCTACATCATTCTCCTGTAGAGCGGCTGGTGGGTTCGAACCACTGACCTTCTGGTTTGCAGGCGAGAGCTTAACCACTGTGCCCCCAGGGTTCCAGTGGTAGTGGTGGTGGTGGGGCTGTTGTCGTTAAGTACCTCAAGTCCGTTGGAGTCATATTGATCCTGTCTAGTGTTTTTGAAGAGAGCAAAAAGTCATTAAGAAGACAAGAAAGAAGGAAAAGATCAAGATGGATGTCAGAAGAGACTCTGAAA